GTAAAGAGCTATATCCCAGATATACAGGGTTAGTAAAGAGCTGTATCCCAGATATACAGTGTTAGTAAAGAGCTGTATCCCAGATATACAGGGTTAGTAAAGAGCCAAGCTATATACCAGATATACAGGGTTAGTAAATAGCTATATCTGAGATATACAGGGTTAGTATAGAGCTATATCCCAGATATACAGTGTTAGTAAAGAGCTGTATCCCAGATATACAGGGTTACTAAAGAGCTGTATCTCAGATATACAGGGTTAGTAAAGAGCTGTATCCCAGATATACAGGGTTAGTAAAGAGCTGTATCCCAGATATACAGGGTTAGTAAAGAGCTGTATCCCAGATATACAGGGTTAGTAAAGAGCTGTATCACAGATATACAGGGTTAGTAAAGAGCCAAGCTATATACCAGATATATAGGGATAGTAAATAGCTATATTCCAAATATACAGGGTTAGTAAAGAGCCAAGCTATATCCTAGATATGCAGGGTTAGTAAAGAGCTATATCCCAGATATACAGGGTTAGTAAATAGCTGTATCCCAGATATACAGGGTTAGTCAAGAGCTATATCCCAGATATACAGGGTTAGTAAAGAGCTGTATCCCAGATATACAGGGTTAGTAAAGAGCTGTATCCCAGATATACAGGGTTAGTAATAGCTATATCCCAGATATACAGGGTTAGTAAAGAGCTATATCCCAGATATACAGGGTTAGTAAAGAGCTATATCCCAGATATACATGGTTAGTAAATAGCTGTATCCCAGATATACAGGGTTAGTAAAGGGCTGTATCCCAGATATACAGGGTTAGTAAAGAGCTATATCCCAGATATACAGGGTTAGTAAATAGCTTTATCCCAGATATACAGGGTTAGTAAAGAGCTGTATCCCAGATATACAGGGTTAGTAAAGAGCTATATCTCAGATATACAGGGTTAGTAAATAGCTGTATCCCAGATATACAGGGTTAGTAATGAGCTGTATCCCAGATATACAGGGTTAGTAAAGAGCTGTATCCCAGATATACAGGGTTAGTAAAGAGCTGTATCCCAGATATACAGAGTTAGTAAAGAGCTGTATCCCAGATATACAGGGTTAGTAAATAGCCAAGCTATATACCAGATATATAGGGATAGTAAATAGCTATATTCCAAATATACAAGGTTAGTAAAGAGCCAAGCTATATCCTAGATATGCAGGGTTAGTAAAGAGCTATATCCCAGATATACAGGGTTAGTAAATAGCTGCATCCCAGATATACAGGGTTAGTAAAGAGCTATATCCCAGATATACAGGGTTAGTACAGAGCTGTATCCCAGATATACAGGGTTAGTACAGAGCTGTATCCCAGATATACAGGGTTAGTAAAGTGCTGTATCCCAGATATACAGGGTTAGTAAAATAGCTATATCCCAGATATACAGGGTTAGTAAAGAGCTATATCCCAGATATACAGGGTTAGTAAATAGCTATATCCCAGATATACAGGGTTAGTAAGGCTGTACATCTGGAAAAGATATGGGTTGTAAAATAGCTGTATCCCAGATATAGGAGTTGTGTGGCTACATGTCCCAGATATATACAGGGTTAGTAAAAGTATCCAGGTATACAGGGTTAGTAAGAGCTGTATCCCAGATATACAGGGTTAGTAAAGAGCTGTATCCCAGATATACAGGGTTAGTAAAATAGCTATATCCCAGATATACAGGGTTAGTAAATAGCTATATCCCAGATATACAAGGTTAGTAATAGCTATATCCCAGATATACAGGGTTAGTAAATAGCTGTATCCCAGATATACAGGGTTAGTAAATAGCTGTATCCCAGATATACAGGGTTAGTAAAGAGCTGTATCCCAGATATGCAGGGTTAGTAACTAGCTGTATCCCAGATATACAGGGTTAGTAAATAGCTATATCCCAGATATACAAGGTTAGTAAATAGCTATATCCCAGATATACAGGGTTAGTAAATAGCTATATCCCAGATATACAGGGTTAGTAAATAGCTGTATCCCAGATATACAGGGTTAGTAAATATCTGTATCCCAGATATACAGAGTTAGTAAATAGCTATATCCCAGATATACAGGGTTAGTAAATAGCTGTATCCCAGATATACAGGGTTAGTAAATAGCTATATCCCAGATATACAGGGTTAGTAAATAGCTATATCCCAGATATACAGGGTTAGTAAAGAGCTGTATCCCAGATATACAGGGTTAGTAAATAGCTGTATCCCATATATACAGGGTTAGTAAATAGCTATATCCCAGATATACAGGGTTAGTACAGAGCTATATCCCAGATATACAGGGTTAGTAAATAGCTGTATCCCAGATATACAGGGTTAGTAAATAGCTATATCCCAGATATACAGGGTTAGTATAGAGCTATATCCCAGATATACAGGGTTAGTAAAAGGCTGTATCCCAGATATACAGGGTTAGTAAAGAGCTGTATCCCAGATATACAGGGTTAGTAAAGAGCTATATCCCAGATATACAGGGTTAGTAAATAGCCATATCCCAGGTATACAGGGTTAGTAAAGAGCTATATCCCAGATATACAGGGTTAGTAAATAGCCATATCCCAGCTATACAGGGTTAGTAAATAGCTGTATCCCAGATATACAGGGTTAGTAAATAGCTGTATCCCAGATATACAGGGTTAGTAAAGAGCTGTATCCCAGATATACAGGGTTACTAAAGAGCTATATCCCAGATATACAGGGTTAGTAAAGAGCTATATCCCAGATATCTAGGGTTAGTAAAGAGCTGTATCCCAGATATACAGGGTTAGTAAAGAGCTGTATCCCAGATATACAGGGTTAGTAAATAGCTGTATCCCAGATAATACAGGGTTACTAAATAGCTGTATCCCAGATATGCAGGGTTACTAAATAGCTATATCCCAGATATGCAGGGTTAGTAAATAGCTGTATCCCAGATATCCAGGGTTAGTAAAGAGCTATATCCCAGATATCTAGGGTTAGTAAAGAGCTGTATCCCAGATATACAGGGTTAGTAAAGAGCTGTATCCCAGATATACAGGGTTACTAAAGAGCTGTATCCCAGATAATACAGGGTTACTAAATAGCTGTATCCCAGATATGCAGGGTTACTAAATAGCTATATCCCAGATATGCAGGGTTAGTAAATAGCTGTATCCCAGATATACAGGGTTAGTAAATAGCTGTATCCCAGATATCCAGGGTTAGTAAAGAGCTGTATCCCAGATATACAGGGTTAGTAAATAGCTATATCCCAGATATGCAGGGTTAGTAAAGAGCCAAGCTATATCCCAGATATGCAGGGTTAGTAAATAGCTGTATCCCTAATCTATTCTATAATATGCAATATAGAGACATGGTGCTCTCTGGTAGAAATTTTATTGAAAAAGATGAAAGATAAAAAAGAAAAAAAAATGCACTCACAAAAATGGTTCAAAGTGGTGGCAACTGTTCTTTAGATCTGCAATTTCAAATTACTGGGTCATTTCATTATATTTAAAGGGTTATTCACTAAACTCAGAGTTGTAGAGAATTAAGGCCTTAATTTAATAAGCTTTCAATACTATTAGAAACACGTTCCAAACGATTTGTCTACAAAAGTCACCATTAAAGCCTTCTGACCGTATAGAATCCTTTGTAGAACTTATAACATCAAGGCCTAATTTGAAATGGGAAAACGTGGCCTAAAATAGCTAATTCGGAAACATTCTCCATCTTAGCCGTAGTCACATCTTAGCTGTTTTAGCCTCTGTTTGACATTGCAGTTAGTGAGTAGCCCTGACTGTAGCTTTTTTTCAGTAAACTTAGAATTGTGGAGCATGGACTAGTGAATCCTAGACGAAAGACAGATGAACCGCACAAATTCCCTTACACTGAAATTTGGCTCAGTGTATGCTCTTTACAATTTCCAGTTTATTGAATACAATCTAAATTGGTGGCAGTAATTGTCTCAGTGCTGACTGCTTAGGACTACAAATCCCAGAATCCTTAGCCAGTGTGTCGGCAAACTAATGGTAAAATTTTCAATGGAACGTTACATACCATAATGCCAGAGACCCAAAGCAATGTTTATCAGGACTGCAATTCCCACAATACTTTGCTCCCCATACAGGAAGATGTTATCCATATCTTATAGTTGGGTAGAACAGAAAAGCTTAGAGTTGGCAAGAAAACAGCAAGCTGTGACAAAACGAGTTACAAAGTAACCTTTTCAGATATCCCATTACCATCTAAATATATCAAATGTTTGTATCACAAAGAGACCCTGACAGATCCCCCCCACCCCCCCTTTATAGTACACAAGTAAATCAATCATTTGATCACAACTCTAAGGATGGAGAGTTTTTGTTTGTGACAGTTTTTTTATTTTTATTTTTTTCACCTTGATAAATCTATATTAAAGTTTACTAAGGGATACTGAAGCGATGCTCGCCTTTGCAGTAGATGCTCAGTAAATGTTGGTTTTGGTCATGGGAGTTAGAGTTTATTCGTAACCAAATGTTCAGAGTTTTGTAAAAGGCATTTGATGTTGGTGCCCATTATTTGATTTGCACGGATGCAGTAATTTACCCTTTTACTTCATTCACTTAGTGTTTCACTCTCTGATAAGGTTTACTGGGGGACAATTAGGGGATAGTTACCTCTAGAATTCTCAACGAAGCGTGTCAGATTTTAGGTTACAAAAGGTGAATTGAAAATCTAGCTGATTTAGGGAATATTTTGATTTCGGCTATAACGAATTCCTGGCAATTCATATGTTCATGAATACCGTGGCCAGTGGTGCCATCGGAGATGTCCTTTGCACCATTATATGGAATCTTGGCCTCCTGGGGCATGCTTGGGTATTCTAAAAAATTCAAACACTACATTTTTTTTTTCAACAATGCGGTAAATAAGTTTGTTAGTACTTCAGTTTTTTTGTTGCAGGTACATATTATAACTGAGTCTTGGGAGATTCATCAGGGGTATGTTTATAAAGGAACATCGATGAAAAATTGTGGAATTTTATTTTCACAACTGTTCGGCGAGCAGCTAATTTGTGGAATTTTATTTTCACAACTGTTCGGCGAGCAGCTAATTTCAAGAAATTCTCAGATTAATTGGCCGTCACGTTCACCCGACCTCTCAGCTCCCGATTACTTCCCGTGGGGATATCTGAAGGAGCGGGTGTACGTGAACAAACCGTGTTCACTTTAGCAGCTCAAGGAGAATATTGGTGCAGAAATTCAAGCGCTCGAGCCTCAAACGTTAACTAATGTTCTGAACAATGCAATCCAAAGAGCCTGACTTTGCGAGGCGGCAAATGGAGCTCATTGAAAAGATGTCACCTCGTCAAACAAATCTCCATATGTTAAGCATTCATTGTGTGTAATATCATGGAAATTGTTTTTGTTAATAAAAAAACTATTGTCTCCTCAAACCCTACTCTCAATCTTGACCCACCCTGTGTAAGGTATGCAACACGCGGGAATATGGTGGGGCTATATTCTTAGTTGTATTATCCTTCCTGGTAAAATATTTTATAATTAAACAAATATATTATACATCACAACAACAGCTTCTGCCCCAAAAGTGACCCACCAATTCAAACAGTATTCTGTTTGTAATATATTTCTTGTAAAGTTCACTACGCCACCTATATTATATTGGTGATTTAGTTTGTGGGTTGTTGTTTTTTTTTTAGCTCTGTATGACTGGATACAGTATATTTTATGTGTATATTATTTCACTATATTAACACACTATGGCAAACAGTTTCTCCAGAGCCCTCGGACTGAAGACACGTTACTTCACTTGGGAAGAAACAACTCGTGCTCTCTGTTCCTTAATATCGCGTAATAAAATAGTGTCATAACTTCTATTTGATCCTTTTTTTCTTAAAAATAAATAAATAAATGAATTGAGATATCAATGAAAATGTTATTTCAGATACTTACAAGGAATGTAAAAACATGCACTTTTTTATATAAATGAAGTTCCTTTTATCATTTTGTTTATTGAAATGATGGACATTTGTGTTGTTAGCCCAGTGTACTCCTTTTATCGGAATGTTATGTTTCTCGTTTATTCATTTTTATTTATCACATTGTTTGGGTGCTAGGGACTGATGTCGAGGCCTCTGAATGTGTAAGAGCGCTGTTAGTACACAGAACTCTAATTGACAGTGTGTTAGTGAATGGGTCCTTTCCTCAGTACCTTGCACGCAGGCCATCCGGTCCTCAAAGCCAAGGTCAGTGCCATACGCTGAGAGCAATCCCCTTCCCAGAATTCCTTGCAATGTGTATGCGCCTGTCTGTGTGCTCTTTTGCACGTCTCACTAGTGGTAATGAGGAGGGAGTGAGGGGGATTGATGGAGAGGACCCAGCAGGGGTAGGGTGGGGGGAGGAAGATACTGAGAGAACTTGTCCATCCTGCATGGCTTGTTTATTTATTCTACTGATTGGTGGTAATTATATAGAACAGGTGCTATTATGTTTCCTGATGTCTGTGTATTAGGAGGAGGTGAGATGTAGGTGTCCTGATGTCTGTGTATTAGGAGGAGGTGAGAGGTAGGTGTCCTGATGTCTGTGTATTAGGAGGAGGTGAGAGGTAGGTGTCCTGATGTCT